ACTCAGCGTGTTCGAAAGTGTTAGTTCCCGTAAACATATTTCAGATCTAAGACATGCTTAATGAAAGTGAACGATATCGGGTCACAACACACGGACTAGAGGGATTTTCCTGGCGGCAATTGCACTTCCTATCGGGATTTTAAGTAGGCTCGGGCTGCCTGCGATCGAGTACGGTTCTGTTGTGTGCCGTGATGATATTGTGCACATTGAGCATGCAGCTGTAGCTTAGCTTAAGGTTGTTCCTATTGAATAGCTTATGTAGAGGATGGTTGGGTGGAAAGCATTCATCTATAGCCTGCAGGAATTTGTGACCAATGTCGGTGCCAACATTGGCGCTGTAGGGAGGATTAAACCATATCACATTTCTGTTTCTATTACGTTTAGACTTTGGTGGCTGGGGATTGTAATTGAGGACGTAGTTAAAACCGCTCTTTCGCAGGGCTTCCTGATATGGAGGCGAAGCCGACTCAAAGGATTGCTTATCAGAGGATATGTTTGATAGCCTCTTGTTGATAGCGTCTGGTATGCTGCATAGTATTGGTGGCGGGTGGTTGCTGTTGTGGTTGATAAATAGTGGTGTATTTCCGGGTTTCATATATGGCTTGTAAGATGACGATCTGAGATCAAGTGTGATGTCTAGTTAGTCAACGCATTTTTTGTTGGCTTCGATGGTTATATTCAAGCTATTGTCACTGAGAGTTATTGTCTTAATTATCTCGATTTCGCGTGGTGTTTTGGCAAAGGCTGCGAGACCGTCATCTCTGTACAGACCGATATCATTGCCATACTCTGCCGTTAGTTATGACAGAAGATAAGATCCCACTAACTCGCATGTCTCAGCCCCGTCAAAGCTGCCCATGGTTACATCGAAAAGTGAATCGGCTGATGTTTTCTTTCGCCAAGTTGTATTTCTGTTGAAGAGCAGCGATTGCTTTGCTTTCATGATAATGGCTTTCTCATTTTCGGTTATTTCGTCGTATTGTGAGGCGAATGCTAGGGATTCTTTCAGGAGCTCTTCAGATATAGATGGATAGAAATCTACTATATCGAAGCTGATAAATGAGCGGGTTGATTTATTAGGCATGTTGTTAAACCACTTGATCACAGCGTCAGTATTTTTCCATTGGTTTATACTGGTAGATTTGACAATTTTGGAATTGATCCTTTGAAGGACTTGCTTGCTGACAATTCCGATTTCAGATTTCGATGGATTTATAAGATGGATTTATGACGTCAAATATTTGTATAATAGCTCAAGTTACCTATAGGTTATAACATTATGTAAATACGCGATATTATCATTCACCTGATGAGTGTGGCAAGCTTATAGTTTGCCATACGAAACAAATTTGTCGTGAATAAATGTTTTAAACGAAGTAACTCAAGTTTGTCTTATTATATATATATATATATATATATATATATATATATATATATATATATATATATATATATATATATATATATATATATATATATATATATATAGATTAATCACTAGGCGAAAAGCCATAAAGGTATATAAGTTAATCAACTCAACACATAACGTAACGTTTCGACTTTATTGTCTTCATCAAATATAATCCTACTTTACAGGCGAACCCAATTTATACCCTCCCAATTTTGCTAATTATGCATAATATGAATATAAGTGATTTACCATACAAATAACAATATCCTGTTAACTATAATTAACATTGCTACGCATTCTCTATGTTCAATCCCGAAGGATGCATTGTCTTTAGTTTGCTTATCCAAAATGCCTTACTTCTGGTCGGTTCCGCTGGGTCAGTTTCATCAATTAAAACAATCTCGCAATCACTAATCAATCCAATTATGTCCATTACCCAAGAAATGTTGATGGAAAAACATTTGTGTATAGGCCTCGTTATGAACTGCCTTTTTGTGGCAAGTCTTATAATTATTTTAACGGTACTTAAATTTATCTGTTGTTTCGCCAATATATTGTTTTTTACGGACTTTACAAGTAAGAAGATAAACCACACATTTCGAGTCGCAATTCAACCTATGATTCACTTTGTACTGTTTACCATTTGTTGAACACTCAAAGCTGTCGGTTTCTCGAATATTATTGCACGTTAAACATCGTGCTTTCTTAC